GATGCGGGGCTCGATCCCAGGACCCTGGGATCATGACCTGAGCCGAAGGCAGGACGCTTAACGACTGAGCCACCCAGGCACCCCTGAAGTCTCCGTTCTTAACCAGTGCTTTACAGCTAAAACAGTCACTTACAGTCTTGACCTCCTGGCCATCTGGCCTTGAGGAAGTCACTAAATTCTTACATCCTTAGTGTTCCATCTCTGGGAAATTGGGAGATGAACGTTGTTCTCCGAGTTTTCTCATGAGCATTAAATGAGAGGACGTTTGTAAATCTTTCAGCCAGTGCCTGGCCTGGCTGATAATATCATCATTCATTCATTCAACAGCTATTTACTGAGCACCTGCTACATGCCAGGTTCCATTCTAAGTGTACAAGCTAGAAAAGGTCCCAGCTCCTCTAAAGAGAGTAAGCAAATAAGCTAGATAATTTCAATTAGTGATATGTGTTATGGAGAAAAGAAAAAATAGAGTGAGGACAGTTACTATAGAGACACAAAGGTCCACTGTAGCTGGGTGGTCAAGGGAGGCCTCTTTGAAGAAAGAGCAGTTGAACTTAATTCCCAAAGGAGATGTGGAAGAAGTCAAACCTTCCAGGCTAAGGGAACAGCAAGGGTAAGGCCCTGAGTTGGGAACGGAAAGGAGGCCGGTGTGGCTGGGGCTGTGTGAGGAGGCAGATGAGCGGGGGTGGGCCTGGGCCCTCAGTGAGGCAGAGCCATGGACGTTATAGGAAGGTGTTTGCATAGTGGGAAGCCTTTGGAGGGTTGAATCGAGAGAGTAATGTGATCTGATTTATTTATTTAAGAGGTGGCTTTGGCTGCTGTGTGGAGAATCAAATACTGGGGAAATGGATTGCAGAGAGAGATGGCAGAGCGAGGCCAAGCAAGACAAGAAACCCCGGTGGAAAGTGGTGGATGGTGCTTCCCATTGGCGGACCAGGACAGCAGCAATAAAAATCCAAATGAAGAGAGGACTTGCGCAACCAACCCACCAGTGGTTTCCACAAAAGTAACAAGCCTCAGACCTCACAGCTTGTCAAAAGCGGAGTTTGAGCTCTTTTCCTAATGTTGTAGAAAGATCACCACCATCATCCGGCTATGGGGCAGTAGCAACTGATGTTAATACTTTTCTTTTAAACAATGAGAATTTATACTTTTGGGGGGTTACTGACTATAACTACATATCTAAACTTTATGAGGTCAAACTGGATTTCTGTACAGACCTCTGTACAGAGGTCAAACTGGATTTCTGTAAACTTTTTCTGTGGAGGAGCAGATAGTAAATATTTTCGTGGGCCCTGCTATCTCCTGTCAGAACCGTTCAACTCTGCCTCTGTAGCTGGAAAGCAACCATAGAAAAGGCATTAAGAATGGGCATGGCTCTGTTCCAATAAAACTTTATGCACAAAAACAGGCAGTGAGCCACATTCAGCCAAAGGATTATAGTTTGGCAGTTCTGGTAGGAGATATCATTTATTTATATGACCCAGATAATTTTTTTTCTATAAAACCAATTTGAGACATTTCCCCCCAAACCCTTTTGTAAAACTAGGATGCATCTTACACACCTGTGCTTATCTTAACACTAGGAAATATGATGTAAGTTAATGATGACTCAGTCCAGTGGTTTTCTTGACAATTCTTTGGAGGTAACTTGGGGAAACCAAGGTGATAGCAAGGGAAGAGGGCTTTGGACCCCCACACCTCAAACAGGAGAACTTCTTGGGTGCATGTTTTTTTGACTGGTGGCATTCAAAAGAATTTGTTTGGAAAAAAGGGGTTGGGAGCTAGGGAAAAAAACCCCAGAAAACCAGTAATCCAGTCCAAATGGTTGGAGATCATTTCCCTTTTGGTGTCATGCGTCAGGGACACATTTATTACATAATTACATATAGAACAAATTGACACAAATTTTCTAACTGGATGGAAAGGGGTCAGGAAAGAGTTGCTTTGGGGTCATATTTGTGGGGTAGAGGACCTTTAGGGCACACAGACCAGGGGTCTTATGCAGTTTGAGGCTTCAGACAAAGACCGCAGTGTCTACTTCCAAAGCCTTTTAGGGCGGAGTCAGCAGGTTGGCATATGGCAGTCTTGGAGAGGCAGGATGATAGAGTGGCTTGGACTTTCAATTCAGACACAGGTTTGAATCTCTGCTCCGTTGTCACTTAGTGGCTAGACAAGCTATTTCTTTAACTCTCTTGTTATGCATTTTCCCAGCTGGAAAACTGGAATGATATTACTTCCCTTTTTTTTCAAGCTGTTGGGAGGATTAAGTGAATTAACCTATGCAAATTGCGTAGCATATTGCCAGGTGCTTGAGAAAGTAATTTCCTTCTCCAGTCTGTTCTCAGGGGTGTGGGTTGAGTTCAAAGGCTCTTTGAGACCTTCTACTGTCTCTTTCCTTTTGACTCCCATTTCCATGCCCCAATCTTCTCTTCCCAGGATGTGGCCAGGTTCTGCGAGCCTCCAAGGGTCAGATTTTGTTGGAGAGCTACCCTCTAAATGCTCATTGCGAATGGACCATTCATGCCAAGCCTGGGTTCATCATCCAGCTAAGGTAAGGGGCTTGGGCCAGAATTAGAGAGTTTGGGGTTATAAGGAAACACAGTAAGAGGACTGAGGGCCGTGGATCCTAGTGACCACAGGCTAACCATCAGCAGTTTAGTCTTAAAAGCAGGTAATGTGGGGTGCCTGGGTGGTACGGTTGGTGAAAGTGTCTAACTTTTGGTTTTGGCTCAGGTCTGATCTCAGGGTCATGAGATAGAGCCCTGCCGTTGGGCTCCCTGCTTGGCACAGAGTCTCCTTGAGTTTCTCTCTCTCCCTCTCTCTGTGCCCCTTCCCTGCATGTGCTCGTGCACTCACGCATTCGTGCTCTCTCTCTCAAATAAATGGATATATCTTTAAAAAAAAAAAAAGCAGGAAGTGTACACTGAGCCCCCCCCTTTTTTTTGACCTCTTGGCGATTCCATGGGAAAACTATAGCCAATTATATATTCGTCATTCACTGCCCTACAATGGAGGGGAGGGTGGGCTTAGGTAATTTTGACCCAAGGTTAATACCAACAAAGCAAAATACTGATAGCAATCTATCCACCCACAAATCTTTACCAAGTCTTCCTATTCACCCAGTGACTGGGTTCTACAGGAGGAAAGGGAAGAAATAAAAGGCACAGATCCAATCTTCAAGGAATTTATACTCCAGATTGGGGTGTGTGCTCATCAGCTCCTTTCACTAATGTTCTCAGAAAACAACTACCACCCCATAACAAATAAACCAATTTTCTCCCTGGTGTGGAAGATAAGCCATTTCTTCTTATGGAGCTTTGAGGTCCTCACAAATATTTAATTTATGTCATAGTACAAAGTACAGACCCAGTTTTATTGTAACTCTCGATAAACAACACAAGAGAGTCCTGTTCTGTGAGAACTGTTCACTGCTGCATCTTAGTGCCAGGAACAGCCGAAATGTCATCATGCTGAGATGTTTGATGGTGCAGTACACACCATAGGAGCTTGATAGATATTTGTTGCATGAATAAATGTTGAAAGAACTTCTCCCTGCCTCCAGTATATCTCCTCTCTCCTGGCAAATACCTCTCCTTTTCCTCTCTAGGGAAGCGGTGTGGCCCACTCACCTCTGGGATTTCTAGGGACATTGTCCACTTAGTTCTTTCCTTTCTGCCCGGTAAGCAGGTTGGCAGTGATGGAAATCTCTAATCTTCGAGGGCATAGGTTTTCAATAAGTATTTTCTGGATGGATTAATGGAGGTTTCCACATTCCAGTTGGCTCCTCAGATGGCTCTCTGTCCTCTAGGAGGGGCAACATATAGCACTCTGCCTTGGAAGGATCCAGTAAAACAGGTCCCCTTCTCAATTCTCCTCACAAAAGCTGGCCCTCAGTGGCTGATCTCCTCATTCCTTGAGGATCTGGGGTTGGGAGTGAGGCTCATTAATTGGACTTTTCTAGAAGGAGGTTAACATAAGGAACACCTGATGGGCCACACCATTCTGCTTAAGGGGCTTCAGGTGGTGTCTGCCAGGGATGATAAGGGCAGGTGTTAAATGCCACATATTATTTCAGCACCTTAGGGACCAGGCCAGTGGTCCCCTTAGGGGCTTCTGAGGAGCTTTTCCAAGATCCAGGATGCAAAGGAAATCTCTCCCAAAACAAAAATCCAAAATGGTGGAGTGATTGGACAAGCACAACACATGCCTAGGAGAGGCCCCTAGGGAGGCTTGGAAATATATAGATTTCTTTTCCTCCAGTCAAACCAGGACCTGCTGGCCGGTTATAATAATAATAATAACAGAAACACTAATGCACATGTACAATGTTCAGACCAAAACGTGAGTGGTCATTCCTGGTGCCCCCCCCTTCTATCTTTCCATCTCCCACAAAATCTATCTTCTTACGTGTAAAATAATCTCAAGTGCATCCCCTTCTGACTCTGATGCCACTACTCTCCTTTTACCACCATCATCTCTCACCTTGATTCTCTCATGGCCTCCTAACTGGATTCCATGTTTCCACTCTTGCCAGTTCTGCTGTCTTCTCTCCTCTGTGACAAGAGTGATCCTTTAAAATCCTAAATCCAGTCATGATTCTGTTGTTGAAACCTTCTGCTCATTCCTATCAGGCTGGAATAAGATCTAGACCCCCTCACCATGCAGTATCTGGCTCCTGCTTTCCTGGCTGACCTCAGTTCATACCACTCTCCCCTTTACACTCCATTTTGCAGCATCCCTGATCTTCTTTCAGGTCTTCAAATACGCCAAACTCATTCCTGCTTCAGGGCCTTTGCACTTACAGAGCCCCCTGCCTGGACCTCTCTTCCTCATGACCTTCACATGGCTGGCTCTATTTCATCATGTAAGTGTCTGCCCAGATATCAAGTTCACAGAGAGGTCTTCCTTGACCACGTTGTATAAAAACCTTATCCTCCCCAGTCATTTTTTATGCTCTTATCTGGTTTATTTTCTTCACAGCACTTAATACTCTATGAAATTACCTTGTCTTCTGGTTTCCTTGCTTATTGTTCATCCCCCAGATCAGAACTCCTTCCTGTTAGGGCTGGCACTACTTGGGTGGATCGAGTTGGGTCACTGCTGTGCTTTCAGCACCTAGAACAGCGCCCACCACAGAGCAGGCCTGCCGTGGATCTATGTTAAGTACACGTACAAACGAAGGTACGGATATAAATACAACTTGCAATATCTCATATTTTGGTTTCAGAAGAAAACTGTGGTCTCTGTTGGGTGGTGGCCTTGTCCCCGCTCCTTCCCTTTTCAGACAGAGATACTAACATCCAGAGAAAGGACGGATCTGTCAGAGCCCAGAGTGAGCTAGCAGTGGCATCTGGATGAGAAGTCAGGTCCTTAGATATTAGACCACATTTCACGAAACATGATTAATACGACTTATACTCCCTTACAAAAGATTTTGTGATAAATGTTTTGTAATATGCTAGTTAAAAGGTTTCTTTTTAGGAAGACCTTTAAGTGTATTCAAAATACATTGATTGTCACTATGGTCTAGTGTTTAATCCTGGCACTTAAACTTTTTACCCAAAGTGGTAGAAATAGGCCCTCATCCCAGCATCTCAGGTGGCAGTTGTGAGCTCTTCTGTCTATTCCCTAATTCTTCTCCAAAACATGAGGGAGAAGATACAGATGTACATTCTGTGACCTTGACACCCAGGCATTCCCTTTGAAATTATCTGAAAAGTGGCTTTTCCTCTCTTTGTCTGGGATGTGGCTGCCTCCTATCCTGTCCCTTGGAATTGGATGCTGGGGGTCATCTTCTGCTTTTTGGATCTGATGTATTCACGTATTTCCAAACCCAAGACCCTTCTAGGCAATCACAGATTTATCAGATCTCCCCTAGTTCTGAAATTCTGATACAGTGCTACCTTTTCTACTCTTTAGGGCAAGAATTAGTGCTACCCAGAAGATCCTTGCCTTCTCATCCTTCCATCAAACAGAGGAATGTGCAGAGATTTTGTTCTTTTATTGAGTTTTGCAAGACAATATGTCCTTTTTCCATCCTCCAATTGTAAAATTTTACTGTTGTATCCATTCAGCCATCTATTCACCAGTATTTGCTTGGCATCTCTGTATGCCAGGCACTGTGTTAGGCCCTATGCAAACAATGGTGGGAGAAGACAGATGTTCTCTCCTACACTCAAGAAATTTACCTAGTGAAGGAGATAGGCATGTACACATGTGCCTGCAGACACACACACACCACACACACACACACACTCTCTCTCTCTCTCACAAAATCAAGAAGATAAAGAAGATAAATTAAATTTATATACCCATTATGAAGAGAACAGGGGGTCTCCTTTAGAAAGAGTTGTCAAGGAAACCTCTTTGAGGAGAGAATATTTCAGGTGAGGCCTGAGGATAGGAAGGAGCCAGCCATGCCGCTTGGGTGGAAAGTGCCCCTGGAAGAGAGGCCAGCATGTGCAGAGATGCTCTGAAGGAATAGGGACTCCCTCCGCCTGGGCATGCAAGTACACACGTACCCCTCGGCTAAAAGAAATTCTTCTGACCTCACATTGTCCAGGACCCTTTTTCTGTCAGATCAGACCAGTGGCACCGCTCTTCCGAGACCTGTTCATCATCTGGCCTTGAACTTGCTCAGGGATCGCATGAGGGTCCGGGGCCCACCTGTTGCCTGCTGTCCCCCTCTCTACCCACAGGTTCGTCATGCTGAGCCTGGAGTTCGACTACATGTGCCAGTATGACTATGTGGAGATCCGTGATGGGGACAGCAGCAGCGACCAGATCATCAAGCGCTTCTGCGGCAATGAGCGGCCAGCTCCCATCCGGAGCACGGACTCTTCACTCCATATCCTCTTCCATTCAGATGGCTCCAAGAATTTCGATGGCTTCCATGCCATCTTTGAGGAGATCACAGGTAACGGCCACGGAGAAAAATGTAGCATTTTATGGCTGTACTCCTGGCAAACCTCTCCTTTCTGTGCCCCTCCCCTTCTCCCTACTCAGCCTGATTAAAACCCACTGAGCTGGGTTCTTGGAAGCAACCTGCACACCGAGAAGGAAGAAAGAGATGGCAAGGTATATTTCAGAAATGTTCACCAGAAGCGTAGCTATGATGGATGCCCTTGTACAGATGCTGGAGCAGAGGGAGGCCGAGCCCTTTGCTCAAGGTCACAAAGCAGTTGGTTCTACGGCTCACCTCCAGGGGGCCTCTAATGGTTAAGAGCATTAGCTTTGGAGCTCAGGCAGACGAAGCCGTGTGACCTGGGGTAAATTCTCCTACTTCTCTGGGCCTCAGTTTCCTAATCAGTGAATAAGGAAAAAAGCATAGATCCTGCTCCACTAAGGAGGTTCTGGGAGGTGAAACAGATGAACTTAGCACCGTGTCTGGTACATAGGACGCACTCAGTAGCTGCCCAACCACAGGTGTGCCCTGGGCCTCCTTCTGGCATCTGCAAAATAGGCATTAAAAGTGTTTCACTGAGTGGTAAATGCCACTTACTTTGTGAGTAACTCTAAGCCTGACTTGAACTCCTGCCCTGTTCATATCGGGAAGTAGGATGGGACCAAAATGAGCAAAATGCGCAATCCTAGGGAAAGACCTTCAACTCTCACTGTTCTGAGATTGGACTGCATCCGGCTTTCCAAACCAAGCTCAGGCTTCAAGTTCTGTTTTTTTAAAAATACTCAAGTAAGCGTTGTAGTGAATTTTGATCGCTATGGCTTCCTATGGAAGGTATGATACAAAAGCCTCAGGAAAGGTGGTGGTGGCGGTGGGGGTGGGGGGTCATCCTTCTGCAGCCTTGTCCTTTTGGCAAGATTGGCACACACACTCCCCCCCCCACCTGCCCTTCCCTTAGACTGTCTCACGGGAGCTCTCCGCAGTTACTGCTCATCTGTGTGCCCGCTCCCTTCCGAGGATGTGGGGGCCTGGGGGTTCTGGAGGCTGGGTTGCTGTGCTGTGGTGTGGTCAGCCTGTGGCTGGTCCTTGCCCTTGGGAATATAGGGCCAGCCAAGGCTGGGTAGGGTCACACTTGAGACAGGTGTGGGGGTCTTCTGGCAGTCAGCAGGGCTGGCTGTCAGGGAAGCCCGGGAGAAGCAGCAGTGGCTCACCAGCCCGTGACCCTGGGACTGGGGGAAGGACCAGGAGGGCCTCTTCCTCCTCGGAAGGGGGCTCCTTGACCCCCACCAGAGAACTCTGGGAAATGCTGGTCTGTGTTGTCAAGTAGATAGCAGCCTTCCAGTTCCCCAGTTTGTGTGCTTGTACTCAGGTTTTTTCCTCAGGCTAAGGTCAGCTCCTCCACATCTCCCCATCCAATCCCAGCCCTCAGGGTTTGTATCCCATTCATTGTCCTCTGCTAAACCTTTTCTCTTAGTCCAGTGGGTTGTGACTTTGCCCCCGTTGGAGCAGTTGGAGCGTCTTAGGACACTTTCTGCTCTTTCCTAACACCAAATCTATTATGCTTCAGGCGATAGTCCTTGTATATTTTTTGTCCAAAAGCTCTGACTTGGTAAGCAGAATGTCCGACTCCGGTGCCTCACGCAGGACGAGCACTCAGTATGGGCTTGTGGACCTGGGCCCGGCGGTGTATTTCCATATCAGGGTAAATGAATGTGGGGTTAGTGGTTAGCACGCAGACCACTGTTTCCCAAAGTTGTTCTCTGTAGAAAAATAGTCTTCTGTAAAGACGCAGGCTCTGAGGTCAGATGAGCTTGGGAAAGGCCAGGCATTAATGTGCGTTCTGAGAAATATGCAGTGCAAATTATGACGTGGAACATTCTGAGAATTTTTGCAGTAAAGAAATCTGGTTAATTATCATTTAATACCAGTAGCACTTCCCCACCACATTTAAGCCCACAACCCTTTCTTAGTTGAACACATCAACATCTCGAGGGACTAATGTTTACGGAATGCATGTTGGGAAATTCTCAAGTACATTTTCAACGGTGTCATGATGATCTTCCAGTTCATTTCCCTCCATACCCAGGATGCTTTCTTGAAAAAAGATGATCAAAAGTTCCCGGAGGCTGCCTCCCTCCCTTGGAGTCCCTGTAGGAGGGGTAAAGGCATGCTTCTGCCCTAATCATGTGTTATACCTCTTTGTGTTGGCTTTAGGCTCTTCAGACCATAGGAGCATACTTACGGAGCCTTTGAAAATATCACATAACAACAGATACGTACCTGTTTTAGGCATTCTCAAACAATGGTTGCAGGAATCCAATAAAAAAAGTAAAAGTATTGCAAGAAGAAGACTTTAAGAGGCAAGCAAGACTCTGATCAAGGCTCCAGGCTTGAAGAGATTGCCTCACCATGCAGTGACACTGAGGGAAATTGCCTTTTCTCTTACAGCGTGTTCCTCTTCTCCCTGTTTCCATGATGGCACTTGCCTCCTTGACAAAACCGGATCTTACAAATGCGCCTGCCTGGCAGGCTACACCGGGCAGCGCTGTGAAAACTGTGAGTATGCCTCTGGAGTGGGAGTTAGGGTGTCCGTGGGGCTGGCGTGGAGAGGGCTCTGGGAACTTGTGAAGTCTGTTGTTTCTTGATGTTTAGGATGGTCTGTCCAGGGTGGCACGCAATATGGACAATCCCATTGAGTGGTTCTCGGGGCTGGGCAGCCTCTGAGTCAGGATATCTGGAACCACCCAGGTCTTCCCGTTGACATTTCCAGACCTCACCTGCTGCAAGTACCCCTCAAAAAGATAAGCCTTCGATGGCCTCAAATAATATCCAGAGCTCAAAAACACGGAAGAAGGGCCAACAGTAGAAAGCTGCCATCATAGAGCCTCCCGTGGCTCTCAGTCTGAACTCCCTGTCCGTGGTAAGATCTGAATTTTGGAGTTCTGCTCCAGGGTAGCATTCATAGACTCCAGGATGTTGTTGTATGGTCTGAAGCCTTTGGCACAGAGGAACTCAACACCGTGACCAGAAGTCATTTCTCAGGGGTCTCTGGTAACCAAGGCTTGTGTGTGACATGTGTCCTCACAGAAATTTGAGACCGGAAACAGGTGTCATGAACTACAGCTATCAGCACGGAATGAGATGTACAGAAGAATGAGAAGATTCAGAATTTGGGGGAAAGGCAAAGGAGGACAGATAAGAGCCTAGGTAGGGTTTCTGCCCAGCAGATCCTGAGTGGCGAGTGTGGGTGCAGGTGATGTATGAGAACATGGTCCCAGAGAAGCTGGCAAGGGAGTGGGGAAGCTGGGCTGGGAAGGCAGGGAAGCCAAGCAAAGGTGTGATTTCAGGCAAAATCCAGCCTCAATGGAATCTGGCATGTGAATTACATCTCTGGGTGGGTCCTGACTTTATAGCAAGGCAGCTGGGCTTTCATGGCCCCCCTGCAATCAGCCATTGGCCAGGGGCTGCCCTGGGCAAGTAGGAGAACATGCCTGATTTTCTATGCATGTGGGCCGAGTGGTTCCAGTAGCCCTTGAAGAGTCAAAGAGATCTCAGGTGCAGGCCAATAGAAGCAAAACAATGTAGATTGGGGGATGGGGAAGGCAAGGGGCCCACAGAAGTGATGAAAAGGCATCTGAGGGCAGATCACCAGCAGCATCTGCTACAACCACTTGTAACTATCAGGCGTAGGTACTTTGGGGTCATCCTATAATGAGCCCTGGTCTGATAGCATTCTATAAAGTTCATCCATTCTTCAATCAATTTCATGAGTTTTCCTTGTAAACAAGGCAGACAGAAGCCATGGTGTCAACAGTGTGTCCTTGAGTGTGACACAGCATTCTGCTGAAAGCATCCCTTGCTTTGGGTTGGCACAGGTGACCTAAGCGTGGTTATGCTGGATGCTTAGAAAAAGATGTTCTGCTTCATGGTTCCCGTCTCGTTTGAACCTGCTGTATTGTGTGCAAGGCAGAGAAGAGAAATGCTGCTTTTTCTTTGTTTTAAAAATGTGTGTATAGAGTGAATCTGGAATCTTAACAATGGCAAATCCTGAGCTTTACCTTTTAAATTCAGAGGGAGAAAAAAGAGGGGGGGGGGAGCTTAATTTCTTGATGAACTAACTAATTGCACAATAACTAGAGCTTTGAAAAACAAGGTGAAATTGGAGAGAAGTAAAATATCACCAAATAAGCCAAAATGCTTTAAGTAGCTGGGTCAAATCAGGGCAGGGGTAGGGATGGGGGTTAGGGGGGGAGAGAAATTGATCAAAAGTTGTGACTAGAATATTAATGAGTTGCTTACAAGCCAAACATGGACTTTTCAGCATTGTCATTCTATCTAGAAAACAAAGCAAAACAAAACAAATATATATAATGAAAAAGAATGTAAAATGTGTCATTATGAATTGATTCATAACTTGAGTCACGAACTGTCTCAAATCACTTCTGGTCTCAGAACACCAGCATAGACGGACAAGAAAGTTCTCTCTAGCCACTTTTTAAAACGTCATTCAAAACCCCAAATTTCCTCAGTATCTTGTTGTTGTAACTAGGTGAAAGTATTGGTGGTGGATATCTGATACATCATTTGTTGGCATTCGTGTGGGGGACCAAATGTTTTATTATTTTTTGTAAGATTTAGGTTTGTTTTTTCTTCTAGGAAATTCAGCAGGAGTTCCAACTAACTCAATGAGGGAAGCATTACAAAAATTGGCTGTGACAGTTTACCTTGTAATTTCCGAACAAACCTTAGTGGTTTTCTAGAGTAGCCTATTAGCTAGAAAAACAAAAAGGGGGGGGAAGATTTACTTTATTGTTTTCCTCATGAGTATACCACTGAACTGGAAAAATATCCCTGGAGGAAATTGCTTCAAAATGAACAAGAAGCTCAAGTATTCTGGGATTCTGTAAACCTTGAAATGCCCAAATTGAACTAGGCATTTGTTTTACAAAATCGCTTTAAAAGCACCAAATCAAATATGAATGAGAATTCCATCTTTTATTTAAGTTGCACCAAATCTGATGAGGGGAAACCACTTCATAGATACTGCTTTAGTGGTCTGTCCTCCCTAAGTCTTTGTGAGAATGTGGATGGATGTTTATTTTAGCAGATAAAGGATTTGAAGCAGAGAGCACAAGGCACTGGTCTCCATCAACTTCAAAATTCGAGGCTAGAATTCCACAGTTCCCATATTATTCAGTTTCCCAGACACAGTTCTCGACAGATGAACAATTGATAAGCTCTGGTCATGTCATCGTGTCCTATTGTCCCATTATCTAGTCCTCTCAAAGGACTTTCCTTCCCAGGTAAAATCTGCCTGTCACTCTTTTCCAAAGAGAATTCCGATTCCCTGTCTCTTGATTTAAGCTATTCTCATTCTTTTCTTGGTATATATTTAAGAATGTGAGTGGGACTGGAATAGAAATAGATTTTCTGCTTACTTACAGAAGAAAGATATACTTGTAAAAATAATCAAATTGTCCAGCAGTGTATCAAATAAAAAGAGAATATTATTTTCCCTGACCCATGCTGGTTCCCAGTGGAATCACTGTTACTGTGGTCCTTCTGGATTTTTTCCTATGATGTGCAAACCTAAGTTGTTGATTAATCAGTATTTTTTTATTTTTTTAAATATTTATTTATTTGACAGAGAGACAGCGAGAGAGGGAAAACAAGCAGGGGGAGTGGGAGAGGGAGAAGCAGGCTTCCCACTGAGCAGGGAGCCCTATGTGGGGCTCGATCCCAGGCCTCCGGGATCATGACCTGAGCTGAAGGCAGATGCTTAACGACTAAGCCACCCAGGCACCCCGATAAATCACTATTTTAAACCAGTGATTCTCAGTTGAGGGTGATTTTGGCCTCCACTCCCGCCCTCAGGGGCCTTTGGAAACATCTGGAAACATTGTTAATTGTCCTAATTGCAGGGGGGAGGCTGTCAGTGGCATCTAGTGGGTGGAGGCCCGAGATGCTGCTCAACATTGTGCAGGGCACCAGGCAGACTCAGACCAGAGAGTGATCTGGCCCAACTGTCAGCCATGCCCAACTTGAGAAACCCTGTTTCAAACAAAAGTGGATGAAAGTATACATGCAATTTTTTAACTTGTGGTTTTCAGTGCCTGCATCATGGACGTTTTCCCCAGGCCAGCTCATGTTGGTTTACCTCATTAAAAACAAGTGATTTTCTTAGTATTCCCTTGTAGGGATGTATATACCATCATATATGTTCATCTAATCCCTTAAGATGGACTTGATACCATACTTAACTTATTATTATAAAGAGGGCAGAGATGAATATCCTAACACCGATTTCTTGATTCATATGTTAGAGGTACTTTCGTAAGAGAAATTCCTAGATGTTGAACTGTTAGTTCAAAGCATCCTAGATTTAAACTTTGGAGAGGTATTGCCAAAATGGTCCCCAAAATGTTTCACCAGTTTACAAGATGAGCCGTTATAATCACCAGTCCTCAAAATAAGTGTCAGAACTCACATTTGAGAGACGAGGGTCTCTTCTTGTCCAATTGAAAATGGATTTATTTTCCATTTTCTGAGGAAAGGTCTGGCTCCCGGACTTCCTGGGGTAGCAAAGGAAGAGGAAGAAGCGACCCATACAGGCTGGGCTCTTTCAGTCGTCAAGAGGCTGAAGGTCCCCATGCAGTCTGTATTGCTGCTACCCCAGATCTCTCCTCCCGCTGTTTCCTAAGGAGGAGCAACTTTCCCCTGGTCCCAGGTGACCTCCTCTGAGAGCAAAACATGGGGAGCTCTGGGGTCAAGCTTGCCTCCTGCCAGCACCCTCAGCGGCCCCAACCTCCCTGGGCCACCGTGTAAGAAACCACGAGTTCCCCCCGCCCCAACTTTTTTTTCCTCCTCTGAAGTTTCCTGTTTCTTTGTATGGGACACAAGGACAAAATAAGTTCTTGAGTAAATGGTGGGAATCTTGTTTTGTACAAGTGGAGAGCAAGGGATTCATCGCCTCGCTCCAGTTTCCATGTTGCCTTTGTTTCCCTGGCCCAGTTATCGATGCCCGGGCTTTCCCCTGCATCCTAATGAAGGACGATGAAACGGGCTAAATCTTGGGGCACAATGCTCACACTGCGGGCTCTGACGCGCTTTGAACAAAACAAATCAGCTTCCACCAATTAAAGAACACTGGGGAATCCGGATTCGTTTGGGGTTTGGAGCACCAGAAGGTTTCCCACTAGCCTGTCCCAAGGACTGGGAAGAAAGAGCCCCAGATGAGAGGCACACTTTATACTTTAGCTTCAAAGGGGCAACCGCATTTCTCATCAGAATAAGTGATTAGGCACTTTGGGGTTTTCATGGAAACAGTAACACTGATGCAGTGGGAATGTGCCAAGCCTGCCAGTGGGTCATGCTCACCTCTCCTGTCACAGACGGAAGATGCTGGGCTATGGTGGGATGCGTGCAGATTGTCCCAAGACCTCTCAGGGGAGGGAGACATCGTAAACATGGAATTGTGGACTGGCTTTTACCCAGTTCCAAGGGCGGGGCTTAGCCTTAATTTATGGAAGACAGGGCCCCCTTTGTCCATAGTGAGA